CAAAATACATTTTTGCAGTTAAAAGGGAATATTGTTATGGCATAATTGTATTGACTTTTGGAAACAAATTATTTTATTAAGTGTTATTTATTTATGAGGAAATGAAAAACATTTTTTACTGTTGCAGAAAAAAAATGGCTGTGTTAGCGTTATCGATTTGTTGTTTGGTTAATTATATTAATGATGTACTTCTTACATATTTTTTTGGCTTGAAAAAACAAACCGATTGAATAAATAATAGTACTTGGTATAAATTGAGTTGCTGTTGATACGAATTTTATACCTTGTATATGTAATTGGACGTATACCTAATAATATAACATTAATAACAAAAATATTTACAGGAATCTACATTTACTGTGATTATATAAGTAGTATTATTCGATTTTGTCTTAGGTCTAATGCGGTAGTAGTTGTGAGACGGTTCATTTGTGTTATGTCGAACCTTTTATGGAAATATTTATAGAACAATCACACTTCTTACAGAATACTATGAACAAATTAAAAAAAAAAGCAAAAACAAATGCGAGTCTTAACAAGAGTCGCTAATGATGTGTAACATCTAGCATCTGTAGCGAGTAAAATAATACTTTTACCACTTAAAGATGTTTGGGAGGTACAATCGGAGACAAGAGTACATAAAATTAGAAATTCGTGATTAATTAGGTTTTGCAGCATATCGTGGGGTAAATAAATACTATCTATATTAAAGAAAAAGTATACGGTTTGAGAGAAAATTTGGAGTTTGACCAAAAACTGAATAAAATAAGAAATAACGAATAAAATGGAAAATTTTTAACTGACTTTTGGCAATGAATATGCCTTGATTTCAACTTCGAAACAAAAAAATATTTAGTTTCAATCTCTATTAATAATGAGCGTAAAACTTTTTAATATGTTTAAATAATAATTAAAACTTTAAAATTGCATTTATTTCAGACGATTATAAATATTATCCTTATATTATCAAGTAAAAACGAGATTTTCAGCTAATTTTTCATTTTTTCCTCGATAACCATTTAGTGAATTTGAATAACCTTACGCTAAAGTGATTCTCCAGAGTTCAAGTTACTTATTATAAAAGTTTGAAATTTCTGGTAGCTTTTTTTCTGTTAATAAAAATAAATTTAATCTGTTCGGTCAACGAATCTCCATAAAATGACGTGTAAAATTACAATTTTTTAAAATTTCAATAACTTTTTAACGGTTTAGTGAATCGATTTGTAATTTTTACAGGAGTTTTAGAATTGAATGAGGAACGTTCTTCCAAATTTTTATTTGTCTCGTAGCATTTTGACATACCTCCCAAACATCCTTAATGCATGTACACGGTAATTCAAGATCAAGTTGATAGTTGTGTCTTCTATCTCATCATTACTTTTCTCTGTCTCGTTACGTTTCTTTTATCCCATCCGTATTTTGACGAAACGGACAAGTGTGCGACAACCTTTACGTGTTTCCGTCACTTCCATGAAATTACTCCTATTACTCCACATACGTACATATAATTAATTACATACTATATAGCGAGTGGAAAGATGTTATACATCAAAAAAAAAAAAAAAGCGTTAAATATTTTAACCATTTATTAAAGTAGGGTTCAAGACTGTATAGGTGTGTAGGCTAGTTTTCGAAATATTCTGCGAAAAAGCACAAAACTGTGATTAATAATTGTGAATTGCTTTTTGCATGTCGTTAATAAAATCAATACAAGAAGTGTTATTTCGTTCCAATTGTTGAATGTCGTCAGTAGGTTTAATAGTGAGTAATCTGCTTGCCTTCGAATTTTTTCCAGTAAATAGAAATGTAGATATCGAATATTTTGACTGTAGTTTTACTGTAGACACTTTTACTGAACATGTATTGTCTTATGATTAGCTTATATGATTATTATGAGTATCTAATAAATAAAAAAAACTTTGAACTACAATTTTTTAACCCCCAGTCGACTACCACACTCTTTGATGCGAGCCGGGCTGTTTTGCCACGGTCCATGGACTTTTTAATTTTCAGATGTTTCGTCTTACTTATCTGACGGCATCTTCAGTGGTGACTTTTCGGTTGCTGCTCAATAACGACTGAAGTCACCACTGATGATGTCGTCAACGAAGAACAACGAAACGTGTGGACCAGAGCAAAACAGCTCGAAACAAACCACCTTATTAACGTACACCGGCAGTAAAAGCCTAAGTACCATAGTCTTAATTTTATCTAGGGGTGCACATAAAATAATGTGCCCGTAAGTAATAAAAAAAATAAAACAGAAAAAGAACGATGAATTGTAATATCGATATACGTAAGAAGGGTTAAAAAAATAAGCGAAAATGTTATTATTAACCATTTGGGTCACTATAGCCGGATATGATTTCTTGAGAATCAGTCATAATAAACGATATGTCACTTTAAACGGAGTTATTATATCCAAACTTTCTTATAGAGAATTTAATATGCAAACCAAACTTAACACTGCAATGACTTCATATTAAGCGGTTGGTCAATATAGGCGAAGTCATAATGTACGAATTCTACTGTATGTTCAATTCTTTACATTCCTTTTGGTGGCGCCAAATTTACTCATTTAAAAAATCGTTAAAATGATACTAGATAAGTTTTCTTTTTGTTATTATTTTATTGAACAGAAATGGGCAAAAAACAATAGCACATAATAGAATATAATAATATTAAGCTTACGAATTTAATAAACAGTAAATATATTTAAATACATTATATGTATAAACTTTGGTAATTCACAACCATTCTTGTTATCAATTTGGAAGTGTTACAGTTTGTGGTAAGTATTTGTTGATAATCTAATTAATTTCGAAAAGGGAATGGGGTTGTTTTGTTACGAATAATTTATATGATAACTCGATTAAATAAATTTTTGGTTACGCCACCGTAATGGCAGTGAAATACCGCTGTTAACGAATTTAATGTTACAACAATTAAAATACTGTTAATAAGGAACTATTTATTACGCTTTCACACATTCGTCGTTGGTGGTTTTGGTATCAGAACCACAAATTCGCTTATTTGAAGTGTAAGGAATGAAAAAAATTAGAATGCCGGAAATTACGATCCAAATTCCTGCTTGCCAAAAAGTTTGTTCCCATGTGTTCGTTACGTCAAAAATATAACCTAAATATTACAACGTGTAATTACACAACACGCTACTGAAGTGAAACTTCTTCAAACACACAAATATACCGGGATAGGGGTTAAGAAATTGATTTAATGGTATTATTTGTACACTATGGTTCGCACGGGTGCAATGCTGATAGTAAATATACTATAGAATGCCTTTATATACAACAGTTACAGCTTTTTTGTCATTAGACAATACAAACCTGCCGGTACCGCCGCAACCGCTATGTCCCTGCATTTTAAGTCTGTAATATCTTCGAAAATATTCATTTAAATTACATGCTGTAAAGGGCCATATTGATTTATATTAAATGCACAATGTATTTAAAAGTACTTAACTGGATAAGAATTAATGCTGTATTGCTTACAATCGCTTCGTAAATAAGCCATTATTTCTCGTAAAAAGTAAAAGATAAAAAATGGTTATTGTGGGTTATCCCTAAGAGATAGACATACACCACCGTGGACTTTTTTGTAGACCTTTTTAAGGTGTACAATACTGTAGTACATTATTTTGATCTATCTCGAAGGGTTCAGCCAGCGTTTGCAATGTAAGCGCAAAAAAATGTGTTTATTTACGACATCACATTACAAACCTCTAAAATTATCAGTGTTTCTCTACTATATTATACATGTATTATACCTCTTGAATTACTCTATCTATTTAAAAAAACGCATTAAAATCCGCTGCGTAGTTTTAAAGATCTGAGCATACATAGGGACAGACAGCGGGGGAAATGCGTTGCATGATTTCGTTACATAGCAACTCGCATGAAACGAACTTACCCTACCGTGCGTAAAGAAGTTTCACTTCAAAAATTGAATACCATAATGCAGTAAAACAAAAACAAAAAACCTACCTGCAATGGGTGGTCCTATTAGGTGTCCAATTCCTTGACACAGAAGGATCAGTCCGTATGCAAATGTAAAATTTTCCAGTGAAATAAGTTCCACCAAAATAGCTGGTGTAAACGAGTAAGTACTAGAAAAGAACAATCCAAACGAAGCCGAGAATACAAGAACCATTGTATAATTTTCGGTAAAAACCATAATTGCTACACACGAAACACCACATAGAATAAGGCAAACGGCGTACGCTTTTAAAACGTTCATCCACGGTCTGTCCCCTGCCCAACCAAGACCAATCTAAAATTGACATAATTAGGAAAAAAAAAAAAACGAGAAAAGTAGTTTGAATCTTGCCATGCCCACAAAATTGCTCGCTCCCAGAATCGATATTGTTACCGACGCCTCTGAGTCTGTGTATCGATTTCTTTGCAGATGTTCCACCAAATAAAAGTAAGGCACGATAAACCAAGTGAAGAGGATCATCGTCGAAAGGGACATCAAGAAAAAATGTAAGTCCAAAAAAAGGGAAAAATCAATTATGCTTTTCAAAATTTCAACGATGCCTTTGTACCATCTCTAAAAAACGGTTGTACTTATTACCAGAGATGTGATTTATTATTTGAATTACTTGCATTTAAATACTTAATTTTCTATTAATTTGTAAAATGCAAAATACATTTTTGCAGTTAAAAGTTTTACTAGTATCACCTATCAAACATTATATAAAATGATGAATGAAAGTTGTTCACATTGACCATGGAAGGTATTAGAAGCTTAAAAAGGAGTCAAAGAGACATTCCATGAATGTCTTCTAATTCTTTAACTGGAGCCCAAAAAATTTTGAACTCTTTGGAAATTGATAATCTAAAATTTTAGATCGATATTGTTTTCCGAGTTATTCAATGTCATGGTCCATGGAAATTTTAAGTTCCAAATTGATATCAGTACCTGCCAAATCACCACTTGTCGTACCTTTAGCAAGGAACTACGAAATTCTATGAATTACGACAAAACAGCCCGCAAAACAATATCGAATTGATATACCAGCTGTGTAAAATTGATTATGGTGTGCTAATAAATTCGTATAATCCAAAATATTAGAATACGATTCGAAAAACTTCAATTGTTAGATGAAGCCAAAGCTAAATAAAGTATGGATTCAATTTCTTTCTCTTACTACAATTTGTAAAAGATCAGAGACAAAATGGGGTTGTAAATATTTTAATATAAAATGATTGATGTTGATTTTACATCAATAAAATTATTTGCAACCCCATCTTGGCTCTGATCTTTCACGCTAAACAAACTACTTTGGCATCAGTGTCTTTTTTTGAATTAAAACTGGACAAAGGCAAATAAGGAAGCATACAGAAGAATTATTTAGAAACCATAACATAAAGATAGAAAAACCATATCTCAATCACTTCAAACAGAAAAATATGAATCATACTCGATCTTCGCAGCTGGTGATATAATACAAACACCCCTATTAGTCTAGGAAAACTTCAATATTTAAAAAATGAGAAAATGACTGCAAGGTTTTCTTAACATTTCATACTTAAGTGAATGTAGATAAATAGGTACTACAAAAAGTATTTTAAAAATACGTATTTTGCATTTAGCATTTTTAATACAGAAGGGAAATCTATTTCGTATTTTACATTTGAAATAATAAATCAAAAAAGTATTTGCATTTTGTATTTAAATACTTTTGGAAAACCTTTTGCATATCTCACTCTGTTACCCATTTATTAATCAATTTAACTTTGAATAATCGAAATGTAATTATTAGAACAATGCGTAAAAACTCCAAATGTTTGTGCTTAAAAGCCAAATTTTTTTTACCTTACCAATGCAACAAAATATGTGTAAGAGAATGTTACACTTATATTTAAACTTTAAAATACAAGCGATACCGATAGATTTTAATCGCGAAAATTTTATACAATAATAACTTAAGTCATTAGTGAAATATAACCTTTCCAGATAGAAAAAATCGAAGTTTTTCACACCAAAACTTCACGAAAATACATCTTGTACTCTTATGACGCACGCATAAGCTGTATCGCCAATCGTTCCGCACCCTTTTTTAAAATTGTGCCAAATTTCAAACTCTTGTCGCACATCCATTATGAGAGACAATGAATTCATGAATGTTCAAAATGTATTTAAAAAGAAAAACTCACTCACTTACCTATTTAATTAATACTTTTTATGAGTTACCTGTTTTGTTTTCTTTATTAATATGGTCGCTGAATTTCGATAAATATTAGGACAACTGGAAGCCATAAGCCTGTAATTAGACGAACTCAAACCGGCACAACGATAGACCAAAGAATGTTTGTGTAACTTTAAACTGTGCAGACAATGTTGTATATTAATTCCATCTCTTCTTAATAATGGCAGTGAGTCTAATCTAACGGGGGGTAAGGCGTAATGGGGTGCTATTGGAAGAACAATTTCATTTGGGATTGTGCGCTCCAAAAGATCAGTGGATATATCGTCATCTTCGGCCTGAAACAAAGCTCAAACGTTGCGAAATTACGAAACGTCGTAAATTAACTTCTTTTAGTCTACTTTGCAAATTTTTTATTCACCCACTCAAACGTGGTACAATTGAAAATTCGCGAAAGCTCCTAGTCGTAATTCTAGGTTCTTTGTGGTTAGTTAGAGAATTATTAGAACCAGAAACAGGAGTTGAGGGCAGAGGTAGACGTAGACGTCGATCAGGTTAATATTCGCAAATAGAGATGTAGTTTCGAAAGGTATGGAGATTGGCTCAAGGACTAGTGGAGGTGGTGATTATTTATTTCATACTAACCTTCTTTTTATTTTGTTTTTGCAATTCCTTATCGGCTAATTTAAGTTTCATTGTCATAGTTATTGGAACGGTTGGTGGAAGAATGCTCGACTCGTCGATAACTGTTGTCAGACTTTTTTCGGAAGTGCTTCGGCATGTCAAAAGAGTGGGGTAGTTTTCGAAAATAACGTTGTACAGTCTTTTGTTCGCGCTTAATTGTTCTAAAACTTCTAAGGGAACCTAAAAGTGTACAACAATAAATCTTTTAGAAAAACAAAACTGTCACCTGCTGCCTCCCTTCTACCACCATAATAAAAAATTAAAGTTTAATCTACTCATACGTCTCGTTTTTTCCCAAAAAAATATTTACCTTCTCACTTTTTTTAATGAACGTAGGAATATTAACAACAGATCTGCTAAACTTATTCGTAGAAATGTTATTGTCACTAGGGGACTCCATGAATGTTGCCAAAGTTTGTAAAATATACTCGGGCTTTTCTGTTCTTTTCAACAGTTTTCTAATTTCCTCAACATTCGGAAAGTCTGCGTCAATTTCGCTTTTCCGTGACAGCGATTGTGCACTGGAAGTGTACTTACTAGTTTTCGCATTCGAACTGGAAAAAATCCTATACTATTATACGACTGATATGTGTATTATATTTATACAGGGTAGTCCATCTCTGGCGGTCATGCCGTTGAAATTGGAAGAAAATGTTTCCAATAAAAAATGTTCTATCGGATATCTATCTATTTTTTCCCATGACGCCTAGGATCTATTCGTTTTCTCTGCACATTACAGAACAATTAACAAATTTCAATTATTTTTAAAACCGTCGATTGTAGACCCTAATATGTCTTAATAAAATCGAAAGAGAATTTCATTTTGCATCCGACTATGTCAAAATGAACATAGGTTCCCATTTGAAAAAAACCAGCTATCGATGTTGAAACTTTTAAAATTTGAATATTACTAGTGTAATTGTGCTTTGAAAAAAATTTTTAGATGGGAAGCCAATAAGTGGATTGCATGCTTTTTTCAACAGCGATATCCGCATCTTTTTATCGAGTATAATTGCCGAGATATTACAATTTTTGTACGGTACCACAAACGTCAAATTTTCAGGACCAGGAACATTTTCTTCCAATTTAAACGGCAAGACCGCCAGAGAGCAAGCCGCGCTCAATGGACTACCCTGTATATCTATTTGTTTGTAATCGCGTTCTCGAAAACGACATCAACGATTCTGACGAAATTTACAGTATAGCTAGATCTCATAATTGAAAATTCATTTTCTTTGTATTTTCAGGCACAAATATCACTTCATCTTCTGAATAGCTCAGTGGCTAGAACGTAGGTTTATGATGCCAAAGTTTGCCAGTACGAATCCTGCAATATGGTCACATTTTTTTTTGCTTTTTTATGAATGTAGAAAATAAATTTTGGGTTACAAACTAAGAAGAATAACATACCTACAAAATAAATCTAGCTAGACGTATTAAGATACAGTTAAAGCTCTTTATTCGCAGGGTATACGTTCCATAAATATGCCGCGAATACAGAAACCGTGGTTATGGAATGGTAATTAGTATGGAATCATAGGAGCTACGTTCTAAGGTTCCAAAATAAAACCAATATGTATCAAAATAAAATCAACGTATTGATAAATTCGCAATTAAAATTAATCGTTATAATTAGTTTTAGGTAAGAGTTTAAAAAATTTAGTGGTTTTTTCTTGTTTTGAATTTTGAAATTAGTCCACTCGATTACACCTTTTATAAGTCACCTCGGCACGAGCCAATAGCACTCAAATGATGCTGATACGTTGAAAAATAACACCGAATCCTTTACTATTCAAAATATTTCGATACATTAGGGGACTCAGTGGTACACGCGCCATAGAGTAAAACATGCTTATCGGTTCTAGATATCATGAGTTTAATATTTGGAACAGAGGTTTGAAATTTTGTAGTAAGATAAATAAAGCTTTGTTCTAAAGCTTGTCGAAGACCATTTTTAAATTTTTTAATTTCTATTGAAAATACGTGTCCTGCAAGATGCATCAACTTTAAGCACTTGTAAAGGCTCATAATGACCATATTATTAAAAACCAAAAACGTACCGAGTTAGTGTGAGCCTTTGTCTGTTAGCATACAAAAAATTAGATATTTATCTCGCAGCGTTAAATCACAATGTTTAGAATAGAAACCCATGTTTTCGGAAAAATTTACATTAGGCACTAGCGGTCTATTGCGGTCAATCCCCTTAATAAATGACACAGAATCCTTTTCTGTTTACCGATTGCAACCGCGAATAATGAAAATTTTAACTGCGGATACAGGAACTGGGTTGCAATTTTTTCACCCGCGAATAAGGAACTTTTACTGTATTATTTTTGGTGTGTTTTCGAGATGTCGTTTATCACGTGCTAAATCAGACACTAACTATCAAATTAAAATGTCGCAAACTCAGTGATGTCGTTCTTAGTATTGTGTTATAAAATTTGAGTAATTACCCTTTCTGTTCCATTATAACCCACCCAGGTTCCTTCATTAGCATGCCACAAACGCAAATATTTAGTAGAGTGCCCGCTAAAATAATCATGGTACCCCTCCATCCGAGTTCCTCGATCAGATATTGAGTTAGGGGCGCGTATATAAACGTGCCCACGCCGGTACCACAGGCACCAAGTCCCACAGCCAAAGTCCTCCTTTTGTCAAACCAATAAGCGATTGATACAACTGCAGTCACATAGCACACCCCAAGACCTAAACCCGATATGACACCGAATGTTAGGTACATGAGTGCTATCGAGTCTGCGAACGAGCTTAACAAAAATCCCACGGCTGAAATGATTCCACCCACTATCGTCATTACTCTGCATCCGAAACGCTCCACCAGGGCACTCATTATGGGACCCGTTAGTAATGGTACAGATACGAACAGACTCCCGATCCATGACGTTACTGAATTGGACGCACCGAATTCCTCAAGGAATTCCACATACAAAATACCGAATGTGAAACATATGCCTAAAATTTAATCCTTATCATTAACATATATATAATTCCATGCGGTCAAAAGTTATATATATATATATACAGTGTAAACTCTTTATAACGTCACTCGATTTAACGACAAACTCCTTAAAACGTCGAAATTGCTTGACTTTGGTTGGTTTACATTGTTTTCTATACAATATTACACTCTATATAGCGTCACGCTCACTCTATTTAACGACAACAATGCGGCATTATAAATCATTAAGCAGTACTTTCTAAGTTGCCGAAATAGATAAGAACTGCAGCTGTGTACGTTGTTGAAGAAGACGATCCTGTCCCTCCACCAAGCATCAAACAAGCACTTGATGCAGCGAAACTATTAAAAAAATACTTTTTATATAATCAAATTGATCCAGCAGTATCTCAAGATATGAGTAAGATACGTAACAAAATACAATTAAAATATTGGAGCAGCAAAAAACATCAGACGAAGATAACAGGCTATACGCAATGTATGAATAATAATGTTCGTGTGCAAAATGTGTACTATATTGGTAAATGCATATTATTATAGAATAGTAAAATAATATCTTTTATTTCTCTCCATTTGACGACCACTCTTTATAACGCCGAAAAATGTTCAGTCCCTTAAGTGTCGTTATATAGAGTTTACACTGTATATCCAAAAATAAACAGTTTGGAAGAAAACGTATTTAAAAATTGTAAATACGGGCCTGAACACGATTCTGTGCGGAGAAGAAATGATGAGGTATAAGAAAGAGTAGGAGAACAGAGGAAATAAGGAAAAGGAGAGGTAGGATGATAAGATATCTTCTAAGGCATAAAGGGCCAATTAGAGACATTAGCAGCAGAAACAGGAGTAAAGAGGAGCAAGATAGGAAGAAATGGAGGTGCGTGTCCACAATCATTCTTCAGACTGACAGCTTTATGATCATGAAATTACATTACAAATTATTAGCTTCAATTTTGTTTTTTCGAAATAACTATTGTCATTCGTGTTAGGTACATACCATCAGCGATCATTGACATTAGAAATGAAGAAAACACTATAACCCATCCCCAACCCCCATCTGGAATTTTAGGCTTTTGATTGTGTTTATTTTCGCTTGTGCAATTTTCTTTTATTGTCTTCCCAATTTCGTTCTTATTTCTAGTCAATAGTTTTTCTTTTGTTTCGTTGTTGCTTCGATTTTGAAAAGATCGTAGTTTCGTTTTTGGATTTTTCAAAAATTTCTTTTGAGAATATCCGTGGTCATAATTTCTGTCGGGACTAGGATCTAGAGACGAGGAGAAAGATGACCATCCCACTAGCGGGGCTAGACCTTTTTCTTGGACGTAAATTTGAGGTTCCATTGCCTATTTCTATTACATAATAATCTACGTTTTATCACAGATATGAAAAGCGAAAAACGATGTGCTTGAGAGAGAGAAAGAGAGTAGGTGGCGGATTACTAATAATTAGTAGGTAGTTACTAAAAATTGTTATCTTTTTTCTTTTCTCCAACGTTTCGGCCAACTTGGATTTCTGCAATGAATCAGTTGTCTGCGGAGAACTTTTAAGTATTGAATTGCTTTTTTTGTCATTAATGATCGATTTACAGAATTTCAGATGCAAAGATTTTTTTTTAATGTACGCCTACATGTTTAATCGTACAAAACCCTGCAATAAAAAAATGCATATATGCTTGTAGGTGTATTACAGTGGTCTACAGAAAATAGTTACTTTTTTGACTTCGTGCAAAATTTAATATCTAGTTGGTGATTTCTGAGATTTTAACTATGACAAGATTTCTTTTAATTCCGGTTTTGTTTTTATCTCTAACAGCTTACGAAAAAAAGGAAAAAAAATATTTGTAGGTAACGGAAATTATAAAAAAAAATACATCCTGCAATATGGTCACATTTTT